TTTGATCTGACTTGGTGTTTTCGTTTATTTTAGAATTATCTTTGACTTTCATCGATGCTGACAAAACCAAGACATCCTGAGTTATTGTTACATTCTGCGACAGAGCACGGTCGTAAAATGTAACAAATACCATTATGTAATACAAATTATCACTGCCTACGTGTAGGCAGGTGAAAACAGTTTCGAAGGAGAACTAAACTCCCTCAATGGGCGCTAGAAGGGTACTCACCAAAATCGCTCATGTATGATCATGGAGGTGAAAACCTCGCTTTGGAATATACGAGGTGCAGTGTTGCCAAGCGAACCAATGCTGTAACGTTGCCGAATTTCTGGCGATCCTAACCTCTCATTCCGACTTGAAGGACCGATCCGGAATCGAGCCTAAACAGATTCGACACAATCCACAATTCAAAAATGTGTACGCTCAAAATGGAACCATTATTTTGGGCGTAGAGAATAAATTGAGGCATATTTTCAATCTGCTTCTTAATTCAAGGAACTGGCGTAACATATTGGCGACGCGATGATGAGCTTCGCTTGCTATCCAGCCGGATTCTATCTCTTTCTGACATATGTGTCTATACACATTGACCTCAACTCAGACAAATTTGGTTTTCAGTGTTGAAAATTACATGAAAACTAATTTAACTACACTTATTATCCCTATTATAACTTGAGGTGCCTTATAACAGCTGGCTATATCCTTATAAGTGGCTGTTTGTCATAACAACGTAGCAGCAACAAAATCGACCACTCACTGCATATACATCTTAACCTCGTTAATCGAAACGTCAATACGGATGCACAAATAGTAGTTATGTATAGATTTTTTAAATTAATCTGATGTATTACCATATTTATATACAGGGTGTCCGCAAAGTTGGGGTTTTCCTTTACACGACGTATAGATCTTGAAAACATAAGCAATTTTTCTTAGTACCATATACACCAATGTCTTAAGGGAACCGAGATAAAGGGCTCTGCAACATCAAAAATATCTGAATGCCGTCCTGTAGCCGCGACCCGCCGGGATAACCCCGACACCCCGACTGGTACAAAGTCTCAACCCGACGGCAGAACTGGGTCGGGGTCAGTGTGTCAGGTTAGTATGCAACCTTCAACCGACGGTTACAGTCACGCGTGTAGAGGTATATGAACTCGTATAATCGATTGCGTTTCAAAAAACAACAAGCACTAGAGACGTGGCTAGAGAAGTGCAAGTATCAAAAACTAAAGTGTGGCAAACGCTGCGTGAAGAGGGTCTGTATCCGTTTCACGTCCAACGTGTACAAGCCCTTCAACCTGACGATTTTCCAGCAAGAGTGCGGTTTTGTGAGTCGTTGTTGCATCAACATGACAATAATCCGGACTTTTTGAAGTGCATATTGGTGACAGACGAATCTACGTTCACGCGTAATGGGGTGAATAACTTTCGCAACACTCATGTTTGGTCATTTTCAACAAACATTGTCGGTGAATGTTTGGGCTGGCATGGTGAACGGTATGCTCATTGGACCATTTATTCTCCCAAATCGATTGGACGGGATGCAATACCTAGACCTTTCACGCAACATTTTGCCTTCCTTGTTAGATGTGCCATTAAGTGTAAGACAATCAATGTGGTTTCTGCGTCTGCTCGGTAGCGCTTCAGCTGATTTCATTTTCTGTTGGAGCGGTATGATTTCGGGCAGAGACGTAGTTAGCCCTTCTCGTCAACTGGAGAGTGAGTACTTTTTCCTTTATTTTTTTTACTTGGTCGCCCTCGTTTCACTACAGATTACCTTTGTTATTTCAAGGGTAGTTGTTTCTGAAAAGGAAAACCCCAACTTTGCGGACACCCTGTATATATATATATATATATATACGAGCAGTAGTTATTGCCATTGCCAACGACCTGTTGAGCAATTAGTAAACTCTTTTAACGGTAATCTCGAGCTTCCGGCTTCTATTTGGAGCCATCTTCAGGAGTTGTCGCTGAAGAAGATGGCTCCAAAGAAAAGCCGAAAGTTCGAGATTACCATTAAAAGAGTTTACTAAAGTCTAAAAGATTTTTACAATTTCCAAATTAACAATTGATTGTATATATATATGTGAAAAATTAAAGCTTCCGCCTTTTGTTGGGTACTTCGACAAAATTTAAGCAAAGAGGACTCTTTATACTTTTTTAATTCTCTCTAGCTTTCAATGGACTTTGCCATCATCATCAGGAGCTGCAATTACAATGATAACAGTAGCAACAAAAGTGTAAAATGAATTTAAATTGACTCAACTTGATACTTGTGTAATTCATAGAATCAAAGTTCTTGATAAAGAAAAACACCTTTCCAAACGTTTATTCCTGGAAATGTCCCACATTTTCATGAATAACAACTGTATCAACAAAAAGACAGATGTTAAACAACTGAGTGTCATTTACTCATATTTGCTAAACTGCGAAAAATTGGAGAACCTACATATCTCCCCAAATTTCGACTCTTCACAACCATAAATAGAATCTGTGTTTTGGCCGATTCCACCAGTAAATTTCATTCCACTCAAAATATAATAATTCTCTTCTCACGATTTATTAATAATTGTTAATTTAAATTCCCATTAATTAAAATATAGTTTATTCAACTGACTCTGGTCGGTTTAACAATTTCTTACATAACATTCTGAAAATCACATCATCTGAAGTGATTTGCCAACGTTTGGCACACGCCCACAATTCGTTCCATCTTTCAACACAGACATTGACAACCTTCGGCCTTCTGTCAAAGGGTTCATCTCACTCATTATTCCATGACCACCATTTTGTGCAATCATCAAGTGGCTTCACGATGTAATGCTCTAATGTTTTTTAAATAATTTTTAACCTGCTTTTAACTTGTTCTTGTCATATTTTATATAATTTTGACCATTGTACAATCTATCCAGCTCTCACCATGTTACTGGACGTTTCCCTCATCCTATACGTAAACAACAATTAGCAACATCCTCACATACTACTCTCCTGATGATGATGGCAAAGTCCATTGAAAGCTAGAGAGAATTAAAAAAAGTATAAAGAGTCCTCTTTGCTCAAATTTTGTCGAAGTACCCAACAAAAGGCGGAAGTTATATATATATATATATATATATATATTTTCTTGCGACATGGTCATTGCCGTTTAGACCACTTAGGTGAAAAATAGAGCTTCCGCCTTTTGTTGGGTACTTCGACAAAATTCAAGCAAAGATATCTTATTAATCTCTACCTTTCAATGAACTTTGCCATCTTCATCAGGAGCTGCAATAACATTGAGAAGAAACGGCAACTATAGCGCAAAATGATTTTAAATCAACTTACAGTCGTGTGTGAGATTGTTGCTAAATGTTATTAACGTTTAGGTTAAGGGAAACAACCAATAACGTGGTGAATGCTGGATACATGGTACATTCGTCAAAATGAATATAAACTACACATAGCAGCTGTATGTCAGGAACAAATTAAAATGGATTAAAAATATTTAAAACAAAAGTTAGAAATTACATCGTGACCCACCTGATGCTGCACAAGATGGTGGCCACAGGATCACAAGTTGGATGAAGCATTTGACAAGTGACAGAAAGTTTGTGGTATATATATATATATAGCGTATCTAAGAATTTTCTGATCATCTGGCAACCCTGCCCGAATAAAGAACAAGAGACGTCTGCATCACAGAACGGTACGTAGGAGAGAGAGAAAGAGACGCTACATGATAGAGTCCGACAATTATAGAAGATTCGTCGACTCATTCGTTTCCTACTCCCTTTCTAATACTCCAATTTATCCAGTAGCATGGGAATCTCAGTCTGTCAGGATGATGGGAGAAACAATACAATCAAACAAACACCAACAAACCCACTTACATAAAGATCTCTATGTCTCGCACCAGTATAATACAAGGCGAACCCTAACAACGATTCGATGAGGATTCGCAGCAGTCTCATCAAGAGGTGATCGGCTACCATAGGCGATAGGCCCCCTAACCATTACTCCAACAGTCCTGTGTACCTGTATCTCAACAGCAAATCTAATATCGCGCGATTCTCCACAGCGGCGTCTTACGCTTCTATGACGATCGTGCGTACCTAGACAGAATCGCGATTCGTCTCTGAAGAGACATTTTGTCATTCTGTCTCCCAAGGTCGCCGTTCTCTGCTCCAGTTCAAATGGTGACGACATTGGTCCACAGTCAAAGGAAGCACTAACCGTGGACGGTATGAAAAAAGTCAAATGCGGCGATAGAGTGTACGTATAGTAACAGGTCTAACTTCTTCTCCAAACCATTGGTCAGCGATCTGACGCATAGGAGCAAAACGGTCTCGTAGGGCTAATTGCCGAAAGCGCTTATCCGGATGCTCCGTGGTATGTCTCGATGGACCGGTTGGCCTTCTTTTAGTTCCTCTACCTCCTTTTATCCACACGCGACACACACGCATTACCGTCATTGCAGTACAATTAGCACGGCGGGCAGTTTCGCGATAGGACAAACCAAAAACTCGATAGGCAATACCCTCTGTCAAAGTTACTAACATGGTGATGATTTGGACGTCTTCGAACTCGAGGCATTTTTTTATGCTTAACACTAATAAATAAAAAGGCAATAACTAAAAATGAGGAGCGATCAGCCAAAACCAGATAAATCCACTTTTGGGCAAAAATAATTTTATGATCGATTTCTATTTCTTTTGGTGCGATAAATCCGATGGCGCAATCAGTTTCAACGAAAACTCGTTAAATCCCATTCAAAATCGACCTCAAAGTCGAGCAATTCAAGCAAAACCAGATAAATCCAGAAAATTAAATGGCATAGGCTTGTTTCGAACAAAAAGGGATAAATCCGTTTGCGAAAGCATTTCTTTTATGGTATTCTTGATGTTTTGCACATTCCTACCAATCTATTTTCGTCTCTTTCCTACGCCAAGGTCGCGTAACTCGCGTACGAATATCGGGCGGTTATAGGAAAATAATATGATTCATTCAGTTTAGTTCTGCTATCGTAACCGTTTGGAACGTTGTGCGATACGGAAACCAGTGCACTTCCGCGAATATACGCTGTATGAGTAGTTTTCTGACAAGTTTCTTCATTAATATTATTATTATAATATTCTTCAGTCCGTCGCTAGTCGAGTACCGATACTCCGAGTAGCTGAAACACGCGAGTGACCGGAACCTATATAACACTGTCCAGCTCCACCCTATATGCCTGTGCGCCTACAGTGATAGAGAATGGACGAGCACGACAGAGACATTGATATATCTGTTCGAGGAGGTAACTAAATTTCTATTAGATTGCTTATTTTATTTTTACAAGTACGCCTTTTTTTAGGAAATTCTGGCAGCCGCGTTAAACAGCCCAAAACTCCCGAGAAACAAAGGTTAAACAAGCAACAAAAATATGTTGATAAGGATCCTGGACTATTAAAGTTTACGAGACCATGGAATCATAACACTACTAGTTATAAGTGCAGTACTGTTGCCTTGGCTGATATTAGACTTATTCGACGAACGCTTTATGCTGTTCCTGATAAAGTTACGCAGGATATGAGGTTATGTCACATGCTGGGTGTTTGTGAAAAATTAAGGAAACGCTCCAACAAAGTAAATCCAAAAAAACGCCTCCTTAATATTACTTATTACCTCAAATCAAGAACTAAAAAGAAATCCGTAAGAGTATGTCAAGCTTTTTTTACTAAAAGTTTGGGAATATCAAAAAATCGAGTCAATACCGTTGCAAAAGTTATTCACGATGGAGGAGTGCCAAAGGAAGCTCGTGGGGGCGACCATGTTTCCAGAAAAACAGAAGATAAAAAAATAAAATAAGAGAGTTTATTGGAAATTTAAGGGGTACCGAAAGCCATTACAACAGAAAAAAGTCTGTCCGAATATACTTGCAAGCTAATTTGAGTATTGCCAAATTGCATAAGATTTTTAACTCACAGCAACCTGCACAATATAAATCGAGTTTATCCATGTTTTCTAGAATTTTTTGTGGAGAATTTAATATAGGTTTTTCATCACCTGCAGCAGACTGCTATGCATACGTCTTAAAGACAATATAAGAAATGAAAAAGATCCCAAAAAAAAATCTGACCTGATGATCGAACGTCGAATACATAGAAAGAGGGCAGACGCTTTCTACAAACTTCCAAAAGAAGATTCTCCAAATTCAATAACTTTTTGCTTTGATATGCAGCAGGTGCAACCATTGCCTCGCACCCCCATTTCAGATGCCTTTTACTCTCACCAAGTGAGTCTCTACATATTTTGTTGCGTCAACATGAACTCAAGGCACCCTACATTTTACACCTGGACTGAGATACAAGCTGGTAGTGGGTCAGTTCAGATAGGTTCAGCTCTATTAAATTATTTGGATTCACTGGAACTCGAAGACATTGAAGTATTAAGACTATTTTGTGACGGTTGTGGGGGCCAGAACAAAAACTCGCATATTGTACATGCCCTTTATTTTTGGCTCAAAAATAGGCCCCCGGCACTTTAAAAGAAATCCAGTTGACTTTCCCAGTTCGAGGACATAGCTTCCTTCCACCAGGTTTTTGGCCGTGTGGAAAAATCTTTAAGAAAAAACCCAACAATATTAAGCAAGGAGGAATACTTTGAAAAATATTCTGAGTTTGGAACTGTGAAAGAACTTGGCATTGAGTGGAATCTTTACGACATTAAAAATCTGCAAGATTGTCTTAAGAAAATTGTAGGTATTTCCGACTACAAGCGAATCCTTATCAAGAAATCCCTTAATAAAATAGGACAAGATATCGTGAAAGTACAATGTCATCAAAATTTTAGAATGGAAATTTTAAATGAAGTGCCCCAACAAATTCTTAAAAAACGAAAAGAAGTTCCAATAGTATTAGAAGAAATTCCTTTAACGCGATCTCTTCCCGAGAAAAAGAAAAAATCCCTAGCTCATCTGATGGCTCAACAGTTTGGTACAACCTGGGAGAATAATGAAAATCTAGCGTGGTACAAAAATATATTGCGTGAAGCTCCACTTGAAGCAGGTGCCGTCGAAGTTCAAGAACAAAATGAGCACGAACTTTGCGATTGCCTCGAGGATGACCAAGGAATACATATTTAAATCGTTCATTATTTTTTTAACTTTTTTGATTTATAATAAACGTTTAAAAATATAACTTTGCTTTATTTCAAAAGTACAACAAAGTTTTAAAAAGATATTATACTTAGACAATAATAAAAAAATAAAAAATAAATAAAAAGGAATAAAATAAAAAAAATAAAGATAAATAAAATTAAAAAATGCCTTATTAACGTAAAAGATTTGCTATTAAACATATTTATATTAAAATAAACACTTTTTACATTATAAAGTTAGTTAACTCAAGCAAAAACAGATAAATCCATTTTGTAATTTGCAATAATTACTATGTTAATCATAAAAAAAAAACAAAAGCAGTATTTAAGAGGTCTACATCACCATATATTTCAGATACACCATTTATTTTCTTGGTTAAATTTACGGACGCCCTAATGGACGGTTTTTTGCCATTATCTCGAAACTTTATGAAATGGATTTATCTGGTTTTGGCTGATCGCTCCTCAAATATCTGTACTACGCAGCTCTCATTAACTGCTTTCTTGACAAAAACTAAGAGATAACATTTTAGCAAAGGTAAAACATGGAAGTCGAAGAAATTTTGTTCTGGTTGTAACACTTCTAATGTCACCGAGTGTATTTGCAAACTGAAACGTTGTGTTTTGAAGAACCAGAACCAGATTACAATGGCGGTGCGTATGTGAAAAATGTGTATGACAAAGCGTGCTCCTACGAAATTTGACTATTAAATTCGTAAAGAAATGAAGAACTATTGTAGAATTCTGTAAAAATGTGTATAAGTGTGTGATAATTCAATGTGTGAAAGACGAATAGGTAAAACTGGAAGCGCTTGGGAAATTCGGGACAAAAACCTCACCTGACTGGATTTTCTAGCCAAAACGTAAACAGTATGTGTTGATACCCGTAATGATTAGTGCGGTCGGTTAGCAGTATTCCTGTGAAATACCAATTTGTGTAGCAAGATTTTCTTGTTTGCAATGAGTATCCCAGAGGGTGAAGTAACAAACCAGCGGGTCTATGAGATACTGATGAATTTATTAGAAAAAAATATCGAGATGAGGTGAGAAATCATCGGTAACAAACGGTCGCAACCCAAGAAATGGATTTTAATGTAGAACTCTCAAAATTGAAGCAGGAAAACAAAGAACTAAGATATCAACTTGACGTTGTTGACCGGAGGCTGAGGAAATTCAAAGTCATTATTTATGGACTCAAAAGAGAGCAACAGATGGAACGACATCCAATACGCATTGCAAGTGTTCAATGATACAGAAAAGACCAATTTCACCAACAACAGTCCGTTAATCTCCACCTATAGGGTAACAGACCGTCAGATACAGCGAATGAGCTTCAAGTTCCAATCAACAAATTTTAGCAACCAATAGTTATGAAATGTTGAAAACAAAATACTGTCAAAGTATGAGATGACAAGTTGTCATTGAAACATCACCAGCTTATTGAATATTAAGAAATTACATATAATTCAGTCAAAATTTTAAGAAATTCAATTCATGTTTTAATTTCTATTGTTGATTTTTTATTCATGTTTATATTATTTTCTTCAATTGATATGTGATACTGGGTGTTATTTCCTATAAACCTCGTGCAGATAGTCATTAAGCATCTACTTGATGACAGGCTCTACCAAAAGATATTGGTCGTTTCCAAACATTCATTCATGTACTTGCCATTCATCAGAACCATTGTGGCACCTTAGAAGATTGATATTCCCACAAAACCGTTCAGGTTTTTTGATATCCATACATCCATAAAGTTGAATATTCTTCGTTGTTCAGGAACTGAATAAAAATCCACACTATATTCATAGCGATTAATAAATTCCCAAATCTACGCCTTAAAGCTACCATCAAACCTAAGACCTGCAAAAAAAATTGCAAATTTGCCATATTTTTCTTTTTTCACGAGTACACAATCTGGGTTATATTTATATTAGACATTATTTGAATACAGCTGATTCTTGCATTTCAAGGAGTGACACATGTGTGGGATCTGTCAAGTCTTGGTACCAGTCACAAAACATATACTCTGAAGGTTTAATTCCATGCTATTCAATCATAACACGGTGACTTGTGTAGTTGTCAGCGGCCATTTTGTGAGGGTGCAACAGGGTTGCCAGATTGTGCATTAATATCCCGTTTCACCCTCCTGGTCCCAGTGGAGTAAAGTTCCGCCAACTGTTGAAATATACTCTACTATGCTTTATAAGACCATTCGTGACATTTTTCCCAAAATCATTGCACCACACTTGAAAAAATGCAAATGCAAATTTAAAATTATTACCTTGACGCCGCAAAATAGCTCCGTCGGTACCTTGGGTTATACATCTTGACAGTAGGGATGTTCGATAGGATCCTATATTTAGAAGTATCAATACATTTCACGAGTATCATCATCTTGCGATCCGGACTGTGTCAGAAAGAGTGACTGCCATTTGGCTGCGACATTACCCTGCCAAATCAGACATATCTTTCATCATTTTCAAAGAAATTGTACAAAATCTTCAAATTTGTGAAGTTAGTGAGTTTCACTTCATACGTTGTTACCAGACATGCCCAAATCATCAGTTGCTGCCGTGATATTCATCCCGACCACTGCATCCCCACGGCTAAGCGACCTGTATGTTAAATTTGTATTGATAGGGCAGCGGGTTATGCTATAAATCATATGTCACAGTGTTTGTGCACTGATTGCAACGGCTAGATGATAAAAATGCAAAAACAGCAAATGTAAAAGATTCATTTCGCACCCTCCACCACGGGACGTGATCGTCGTTAGACTTGGCAACCCTCGAGTGACAGATAGATATCCCCGAAAGTCAACGACCGCCAGTCAAAAACGCAAACAATAAACATTACTAGTTTTTATGATTTTTGGACTTAAAAGACATTATTTGTGAAACATTTTTCATAATTTTTTGCCTATGTCCACAGTAATTGCATTATGCATCAGGGAGATGTAAGGATCGACACGTCTTATACATATTATCTGTGTTTTAGGATGGAGAGGACATAATGCTTTTATTGCTTTGAAGAAATCCATTAACCCATAAATTATGATGTAAAGGAAGATGAGGAATTGGATGGAATGTATTTTATATTCTATTTTCTTGCAAAATACAGACAAATCCACACTATTCAACAGGTATGTAATGATAACTTTCAGTATATTGAAGTTGGTAAATTCGAGAGTGCCATGCATTAACAAACATCCAAATCCGCTGCCAACTTTAACAGCTAGAAAATCGACCTACTATTTGCCGCATTCCCATTCGCTGAGGGGGATAACGGATTGTTAAATGTAAACCTATATCAGATATCAAAATACATGAAAGTTGTCCTGTTTTTTTTGTACAAAAGCATCATGTTGGAATCAAAAAGTGGTCTTTTTTATAATACAGTCGAATTTTCACGATTTTATTCAATATTTCAATAGAAATCACTAATATTCAGAGACCTTTGACAGCTTCTGTCAAATTGCATTTCGATAAGGTCCCATTGGTCCATAATATTAATGTTGGTGAAATCGGCCCTGAGAATTCCAAACAACATTCATTGTAACTCTATCCATATAAGCTGGGATCGTCTATGCAGTTAAGGCTACGTAATGGCGTAGACATTAATTTGTGTGTATCCTGGTCCGGTAGTTTGCATGGCGTACAAAGTCTTAAATTCATTACGTTAGTTGTGGAAGTGCTGTTGTATTCCTACCGGTTTCCGGTCTCTATTTGGTCGCGTATGCGGACCCGTGTGCATATTTCCGGCTCCATTAAGACAAGGTAAAGGATCAACGCTTAAGTGGAAATGTGGACGAACCAGCATTAGACCATAATATAACTTAGTTCATTAATTACTTTAATTAGGGTCAAAGCTTACCTACCGGTACGTAACTACTGAAATAGTTGTGGCCTGATAATGGACCAGGGAATATGAGATGGATCAGGAGACAACCGCGAAGTAAGCCTGGAAGCCAGTTTCAGAAGTTAGGTTATATACCTTGACGTCTATATGGTAAAACGTTTGTTATGGTCTTAGAAAAGGGCACTGTTTTATAGAAAGCTCCTCTGGACAATGCTTTGTTCTGCAGTAAACTGGAATGTCGAACGCGAGCTTGCATCGGAGAAAGCATAAGCAATGCGATATAATCTTCGCAGCTTCGTCACGCTATGATCAAAGCTCAGTATGAAAAATATACTCAGTGACACCCAGAAAAAATAATTTCTTCAACTTGTTTTTTTGGTAACATAATGACTATATTTAAAACATGCTCTGGCAACAATGTCAACGTTTTATCTTTGTTTCCGTTTACCTTCGTTAAAATGTTATCTCTTAGTTTTTGTGAAGAAAGCAGTTTGTGAGAGCTCAGTAGTGCAGATATTTTTAGTTATTGCCCTTTCATTTACTAGTGTTAAATTATCACCATGTTAGCGAATTTCACAGGGGTAGAATTATTGCCTATCGAGATGTTGGTTTGCCCTAACGCGAAATTGGCCACCGTGTTAAATGTTCTGCAATGACTGTAATGTGTGTGTGTCGTGTGTGGATAGAAGAAGACAGAGGAGCACGAAGAAGGCCAACCAAAGAGCGTCAAGGTCGGCACTTCTGACAACTATCCCGGCATGTGGGGAGATTTTTGAGAAGTGCTTGAGAAATATGACATAATATCGAACTATCAATTTGGGTTCCGCAAAAATTGCAATACAGAGCAATCTCTACAAGAACTTACAGGACAAGTGCTTGAAAATTTTCAAGATGGAAATAAGACTGTTGCAGTTTTCCTAGATCTTCAAAAGGCTTTCGATTCAGTATCTCATACAATTTTATTAAAGAAACTAGAAGGTGTTGGAGTGCGTAGCGGAGTTCTGAACTTATTTGAGAACTATTTGGCTGATCGATTACAACAAGTTAAGGTAGGGTCAGATTTTAGCAACATTCAAAAGATCAAAATAGGTGTGCCTCAGGGGACGGTTTTGGGACCAACACTGT